CACCACCGCCCCAGTCACCTCTGGCTCCTTAGGAATCCCCTCGGCTCTTTTGAGATACCACCCTTCGGTTGCATTATACTCGTCGTCCTCGTGACGATGCTCCTCGCGTGCCACCACCACGGTCACCTTCGGCTCCTTCACCAAGGGATACACTTAGCTCTTTTGAGATTCCACCATTTCCGTTGCATTATACTCGTCGTCCTCGTGATGATGCTCCTAGTGTGTGCTACCTCTCGAGCACTGCGTTGGTTTTTCCTTGAAGAGGAAAGGGTGATGCAGCAAAGTAGCGTAAGTATCTCCCTCAGTTTTGAGAACCAAGGTATCAATCCAGTAGGAGGCTCCACAGAAGTCCCTCATACCTACACAAACAAACAAGAACCTCGCAACCAACGCGACAAAGGGGCTGTCAATCCCTTCACGGAAACTTGCAAAAGTTAGATCTGGTAGAGATAATAAGATAAGATAAATATTTTTGGTATTTTTATGATATAGATTGGAAAGTAAAGATTGCAAAATAAAGTAGATCGGAAACTTATATGATAAAAGATAGACCGAGGGGCCATATGTTTCACTAGTGGCTTCTCTCAAGATAGCATAAGGATTACGATGGGTGAACAAATTACTATCGAGCAATTGATAGAAAAGTGCATAGTTATGAGAATATCTAGGCATGATCATGTATATAGGCATCACGTCCGCAACAAGTAGACCGAAATGATTCTGCATCTACTACTATTACTCCACACATGACTGACTCCTGCCTGCATCTAGAGTATTAAGTTCATAAGAACAGAGTAATGCATTAAGCAAGATGACATGACGTAGAGGGATAAACTCAAGCAATATGATATAGACCCCATCTTTTCATCCTCGATGGCAACAATACAATACATGCCTTGCTGCCCCTGCTGTCACTGGGAAAGGAAACCGCAAGATTGAACCCAAAGCTAAGCACTTCTCCCATTGCAAGAAAGATCAATCTAGTAGGCCAAACCAAACTGATAATTCAAAGAGACTTGCAAAGATAACCAATCATACATAAAATAATTCAGAGGAGATTCAAATATTTCTCATAGATAAACTTGATCATAAACCCACAATTCATGGGATCTCGACAAACACACCGCAAAAAGAGTTACATCGAATAGATCTCCAAGAAGATCGAGGAGAACTTTGTATTGAGATTCAAAGAGAGAGAAGAAGCCATCTAGATAATAACTATGGACCCGAAGGTCTGTGATAAACTACTCACAACTCATCGGAGAGGCCTTGGAGATGATGTAGAGGCCCTCTGTGGTCGTTTCCCCCTCCGGTGGAGCGCCGGTGAAGGCTCCAAGATGGGATCTCGCGGATACAGAAGGTTGCAGCGGTGGAAATAGTTTTTCGTGGTGCTCCTGGATGTTTTCGGGGTACGTAGATATATATAGGCGAAGGAGGTAGGTCAGGGGAGCCACGAGGGGCCCATGAGGGTGGGGGCGCGCCCACCCCCCTAGGGCGCGCCCTCCTGCCTCGTGGCCGCCTCGGCTGCTTCTTGACGTCCACTCCAAGTCTCCTGGATTGCGTTTGTTCCAAAAAGATCGCTCCCTAAGGTTTCATTCCGTTTGGACTCTGTTTGATATTCCTTTTCTTCGAAACACTGAAATAGGCAAAAAAACAGCAATTCGGGCTGGGCCTCCAATTAGTAGGTTAGTCCCAAAAAATGATATAAAAGTGTAAAGTAAAGCCCATAAACATCCAAAATGGGTAATATAATAGCATGGAACAATAAAAAATTGTACATACGTTGGAGACGTATAAGTGTGCCACCGCCACAGTCACCTTTGACTCCTTCACTAGGGGATCCAGTTTTTGAGATTCCCCCGATTCGGTTGCACTATACTCACCGTCCTCATTCTCCCGTTCCTGATCCCGTTTCTCCTCCTCGGTACGCCCTTCCTGATCAGCTTGTTATGAGGCCAACCGACTAGGATGGCTTTGCGTCTGCCGCTCTTCTAGAGTCCGTGACCTACCAAGAGGCAGCCGTCCATCAGGAGTGGCAGCACGCTATGGCAGAGGAGCTTGCTGCCCTAGAGCGCACTGAGACTTGGGATCTTGTACCTTCCCCGCCTGGTGTCACTCCTCTCACCTGCAAGTGGGTTTACAAGGTTAAGACTCACTCTGACGGTTCCCTTGAGCGCTACAAGGCGCGACTTGTTGCCCGTGGTTTTTAGCAGGAGCACGGTCGTGACTATGATGAGACCTTTGCTCCAGTTGCTCACATGACCACGGTTCGGACCTTACTGTTAGTTGCCTCTGTTCGCCGGTGGTCCATCTCTCATTTGGATGTGCAGAATGCCATTCTCAATGACAAACTGCGTGAAGATATCTATATGCAGCCTCCTCCAGGATACTCCATTCCTTCTGGCATGGTCCGTCGTCTGTGATGTTCTCTTTATGGGCTTAAGCAAGCTCCTCATGCCTGGTTTGAGCGCTTCTCCTCCATTGTCATAGATGCTGGTTTCAAAGCCATCGATCATGACCCTGCTCTCTTTATTCACACCTCCCCTCGTGGTCGGATGCTTCTTCTTCTATATGTCGATGATATGATCATCACTGGCATGACTCTCCGTTCATTGATTTTGTGAAGAAGCGTCTTAGTGACAAGTTCTTGATGTCAGATCTGGGTCCACTTTGATATTTCCTTGGTCTTGAGGTGTCTTCTACGTTCGAGAGCAATCTTCTCTCCCAAGAGAAGTATACTCAGGAGCTTCTTGCCTGTGCTTGTATTTATGATCAGCGCACCGTGGACGCTCTCATGGAGCTTGGAGTTCACCTTCGGCCCACTGATGGTGAGCCTCTTAAGGACCCCAACCGATATCGTCACCTTGTTGGGAGCCTTGTCTACCTTGGCATCACACGTCCTGACATCTCTCATGTTGTCCACATCTTGAGCCAGTTTGTTTCTGCTCCACTCAGTTTCATTACTCCCACCTGCTTCAGGTTCTGCTCTATCTTCGTGGAACCTCCTCTCGCTGCCTATTCTTTCCTTGTTCGAGTTCCTTGAAGCTTCATGCATATTTTGACGCCATGTGGGCTAGTGATCATGATGATCGTCAGTCCCTTTCAGCCTACTGTGTTTTTCTTGGTTCATCTTTGATTGCCTGGAAGACTAAGAAACAGACAACGGTTTCCCATTCGAGTGCTGAGGCTGAGTTGAGGGCTATGGCAGCACTGACAGCTGAAGTCACTTGGTTGAAGTGGCTTCTTGATGATTTTGGGGTCTCTACTACTGCACCGACTCCTCTTTCTTCAGACAGCACCGGCGCGATCAACATTGCTCGTGATTCTATGAAGCATGAGCTCACGAAACACATTGGTGTGGATGCTTCTTACACGCGATTGCAGGTGCAAGACCAGATTGTGGCTCTCCAGTTCGTGCCCTTCAGGCTCCAACTTGCAGATTTCTTCATGAAGGCACAAACTCGAGCTCAACACAGCTTTTTTTTCCAAACTCAGTGTTATAGATCCACCCTGAGTTTGAGGGGGGGTGTCAAGTGTTATAGTGTTGTGTATAGGGCTATGTAGTTTCTCCCTTATATAGGGGTCTATTTGCATATGTACCTTGTACTTATCTTCGTGTTTGGCCCATAGCAATAGAAGAGTTCAGTTCGTAACATGACATATGAGCCCAATTGGAGATGCTCTTAGATGATGTAATGTTTTCTTTCTCAACCACGCCTGGGAGCGCGTGTGTGCATTAATAGGACGTTGCAATGTTACAATCTAAAAGCATTCTATTGCAAATGTATGTTTTCTATTGCTGCTACCGTTCTATCTCTTTCTGTATTTGGAACTAGTGCGCTGGCTCGCACATTTGCATCTCTAGATTGTTACTTTTTGTTTATCTCAGAGGGCCGGCTCGCACATTTCCACCTCTAGGTTGTTATTTTTTGTTTATCTCAGAAAACTATTTCCTTTTGAATTTGGGTGTTCATTTGTGAAGCTTTTATTTTAGCATGTAAATAGGATGAATATGTTCTATCTTTTATGTACTATTGCGCAGGCTGGGACGACTCTTGCATGAGAGTAATATATTTCATCAACGATTTCCTTTGTCGCGTCTTTTGGGTTATAATCTGAAATAGATTTGACAATTATCATGAAGATGCATTTTGAATCTCAAAGCTTTGCATGTGATGTAAAATTGAACTACCAAAATGTCATATATTTAGCAACAGAGGGAGTATATCAATCACATGGATCCGCTGGACATGTAAATGAATTTAACTATGCTCTCTACTAATGTACAATCAGCGGAGAGACATGTGTTAATGATCTCAAAAGATGAAGCTTGGTTGGTTATCCACAGTAGGTTATGGCCGGACAATAGACTTCGGCGTAGGGGTTCGCCAAATTATGTATTTTGCCGTCTTTGCAGAACCGGCGGGCGGCGCATCTCCTTTACCAATGCTGATACACGACTAGAGTGTGGAATGATTTCAAGGTTGGCTCGGGCTCACTTACATCATGCCTAGTGATTGTGCCAATATGACTTTGGTGAAGGATTTGTGGACCAACACCATCCTTACAAGATCACAAGGGACAAAGGATGTCGCTTCTTCTTCCGCAACACCGCCGCCCCAAGATCAAAGAGTGCCAAGCAACCGAAGTAATTACTTTTCTTTTCCCGCTTTGTGGGTTTTATTTTTAATCAATGAAAATGGAAATCTTTTTGCCTTGTTTCAAAAATAATAATATTAAAAGATAAAACAGAGCATCATACCAGATGGAAACATAACATTACAGTGCAACTGACCAGTTACTGAGAGGCAGTACAGTTTCCGACCACCAGAAACCATACAATGATATATAAAAAGATGGGCAAATCGATTGCCCACTCAATAATAAAACTGAGTAGCTGATAAATCAAGATCGATCAGGTTGCCTAGATGGCAAGCAAATCAAATCTCCAATCTCCTCGCTCCATGGCGAAGGCCCAACTCCCAAGACAGCAGCAACAACTAGAACTGGGACTTGTCGAGGCTGTCGAAGTAGGGATGGTCCATTGCCGCTTTAGCTGAGATCCTGTTCGCTGGATCAAACTGAAGCATTTTCTGCAGTTCAGCGAAGCAAGAAACTGTTAGCTCAGATACAAACATCCTCAAGGACAGACATACGAAACTGGCGTTTCATGTTTTTCTTAATTTACCGATAACAGGTCAAGTCCTTCAGGCTCCATTGTTGGAACTGCACGTGACAAATGTTGTGGCTTCCACTGTGGATAGTCATGCCAGTCTCTCAGAGCACATACTCCAGGCCACTGCTCTTCATTAGGAGTCCCCAACAACCTTTTCAGAAGCAGTTTTCAGTCAAATGATTAAATGCATACAGAATGAAATAAACTGTCAGATGTTGTAGTAGTACGTACTTCAATCGATTTCCCAAGTCAGAAGTTATTTATCCATTGGAACAAGGAATAATGGACAGAACAAGAACAATTCACTAGGATCAACCATACTAATACACCATCCCATCAACCAACCAGGCAAAGTTCTGGTATTATCAGTATTACATATTGTTGGTGCTCATGCAAAGAAGAAGATAAAGTACCTGAAAATGTGAAGCAGCTGTTGCAACTCGGAGTCGCCAGGAAAAAGAGCTTGTCTTCTGACCATTTCAGCTGTATTAGAAAGTTACAATATCAAAATGGGAAGACCTTGACAATCGCAGTATAGTGTCAAGTCAAAGAAAGCAAGGGAAGAACTTGAAGCACAATATAGTGAGTTTAGTTCAGATAACACAAGGACTGTGGAAAACTGGAGCTTACTTCTTCTCAAACAAAAGCATTTAGTAGAATGCTTATCAAATGTTTCTTTTAAATGCGATCCTTGACAAGATGCATGCGAGTTCTTTTGTTTGATGTGAGATAAACTATACTTTTGTTTCTGCTTAACTGATTGTGATCAACTGTGGCAATTCATATGCTATTGTATTTTGCTCAGGAAGTTGAACGTAGATTGCACATTTAATTTCAGTATAAAAATAAGACATACAATTTCATAAGGTGGTTGGAAAAAAGTTAAGATCTTTTGTCTTGATGCAATGTAAAACATATGTTCTCTTTTACTGATTACTTCTGTAGTAAATTGTGCTGCTTCATAAGATGCATGAAAATATCGAACTTTTTTCTGTGATGCAAGATAAACTATTTATTCTATTTTACTGATTGCACAAGTGTGCCGATTTATCTGCTAATGCATTTTTGTTCTGGAGATTGTACATGGATTGTACTATTTGTTCTGAATACAAGAATAAGGCATTTCATAACAAAGATCAAAGCCTAATTGCAATCGGCATACCAAAGATGCAACCGATGGACCAAATGTCAACACCAGTTGAGTAATGTGTGGCTCCAAGTAAAACTTCAGGAGCTCTATACCAGAGTGTCACAATCTACAACACAAAACAGATAACATGATGAGGAACTTACTAGAGCATGCTCAGTAAAATCTTAGGAACTTTTTTACTAAGCGGTACCTCATGGGTGTAACTTTTCATGGGAACAGTAAAAGCTCTGCTTAGCCCAAGATCGGCAATTTTCAGTACCCCTTTCTCCTTGTCGATCAACAAGTTTTGTGGCTTTAAATCCCTATGAAGTTTTCAAGCAGGATAGCATTAACCATATAGCTGCAAATGCAATGCTGTATCGGCAACAAACACCACGGAACAAGAGTCTAACCGGTGAAGCACACCATGGCCATGGCAATGTGCAGTTCCTTTGCACAACTGGTATAAGAAACTCTGCAAGAGGAGCAAGAAAGTTATTGATTGTCATTTTCATGCAGAAGTAATCAAGTTATAACACGGAGTGCAGCTCAGGTGCATGGTAGAAGCTAATGGAGAGAAACAAAATACGAAACGGAGCCGGTGGATAAAGATAGAATTACAAGCAGTTAACGGCTCCCGATCCTGTGACGACTGTGGCTCCAAACTGAATAGCGCGTGAAGAAAATTTTACGGTGGAGACAAGTAGAAGGTTTCTATGGAAACCAAGCAACGACGATGGCGGATTGATGGTGCGTTATATGTTTCCACTTTCCAAAGTAAGCACAGCGTTCTTTCACTTTAGGAATGAGACAGATTTCTCTATTCGATCTCAAAATAGAATTGAGCGATCATCACCAGCAAGGAACTGTAAATGCTGATACGTTACATTCCTAATTTGCCGTTGCAACTATATATGCGCGAATTTACGAAAAATTAGACCTTTCTAGTTACAAGCATGAGGCCTTAGGTTGATGCGTTGATCTGATTCTTGTACGATCTGTCCTCCACAGCAACATCGATCAGTGCTTCCAAATTACTTAGTCCACTTACGATTCATACCGTCATCATTTGACAAGATTATAATACTGTAAATCGAGATGCACGGATGCCGCCGCGCTTCAAGGTAACAGATTTCCGTGGGAAAGTAACTATAAGAATCGATACGCGACAAGATGGTAAGTACAGTATACTGAAGAAAAAGCTCGTTGTTGGGACGGAGATGGTAGATAGATACCTTGACGACCTGCGTGGGGAGCGGCCTGGGCGAGGGCCCCTTGCGGAAGCCGTCGACGAACTTCTTGAGGTCGGTGTCGAGGAACTCGAAGACGAGGTAGAGGACGGTCTTGCCGCAGGGCTTGGTGACCTGCTCGACGGAGAGGAGGCGGACGACGTAGAGGGAGGCGGAGAGGAGGCGGAGGAGGGAGATCTCGCGCAGCGCCGTGGGCGGGATCCCCTCCTCGTCCATCTCGAGGCGGGTCTTCTTGAGCGCCACCAGCTGCCCCGTCGCCGCCACCCGCGCCTTGTACACCTTGCCGTAGGTGCCCTCCCCGACCTTCTCCAGCTTCTCGTACTTGTCCATGGATCGCCGCCGCCGGATCGGGTGGTCCTTGGGGTGTGGTGTGGTAGGGGGTGGGTTTGAAATGGGGGGAGGGAGGGGGGGAGGAGGCTGAGGCGGCGAGGGTGGGAAGAAGAAGGGAACGCGAATGCGGGGCTGGCCGCGGGAGCGGGTTGGGCAACGGTCGAATTGACGAGGGGCGCGGGGTCGGAATTGTTTAGCGGCGGTGGCGAATGATTAGCGGGGCCCGGGCGCACATGGCAGGGTGTAAAGTGCGGTGCGGCGCGGCGCGTCCCGTCTGTGCTGGCTGGCTTGGCAACGGCTATGCGACCGATCGTCACTCACTGCTAGCCTGGATCTCAGGAAACGGAGGAGGTCCGATTCTCAAGATTTCAGAAGAATCGGCAAAAAAAACGCGATCATCTTTCGCTTGGTCCCATTGCTTTGTTTGGTGCTTTTTAACGCTCTTATATTTCTTTATGAAGGAAGTAATAATTAGGAGCGAAATATTTTAGTTCAGCGACTATTCCTTAGCCGGACAAAGATGACGAGTTTTTTTTAGGCAAACAATTACAACTTGCTCAAAAATATCCATGATCGATGGGCGGAGACAACTGGCGAAAGAGCGATTCGAGATGGTACAGTGCATCTTCAGTTATCCGCCACATATGAACCACCCACTTGACAGTGACGGCTGGCACACAAGAATTCATGATCGATTACCAAATACAACAGGCAAAAAGATGGTGTTGTTTTGCGTCTCCATTGATGTGCCACAAATTGGCCTCCAGCTATGAGCCAGTGTGATTCCAGCAATGTGCACCCCTCGACTGGATGCACGCTTCAATTAGGGTCCGCTCAAAGCACGAAAGCTTCCAGTGGACGGAACACTCCCACTGGCTCATAGCCGGACGGAACACTCCAGCTATGAGACAGTCAAAGTTGGTGTCGTTTTGCATCTCCATTGATGCGCCACAAATTGGCCTCCGGCTATGAGCTAGTGTGATTTCGGTAAAGTGCACTCCTTGACTGGATACACGTTTCAATTAGGAGCCACTCAAAGGACCGAACCTTCCAGTGATAAAACACCCCCAAGCAGTGGC